GTTTCATCAGTCCAAAGAATCTTATTCCAGAACATGGGAGGCTTTTTTAGATGTTTTCTGGCAAAGTCTAATCTGGCTTTCCTGTTCTTGAATGTTACCAGTGGTTTGCACCTTGTTGTAAACCCTCTGTATTTACATTCATGAAGGCGTCTCTTGATTGTAGATTTTGACAATGATACGCCTACCTTCTCCAGAGTATACTTGACTTCTGTTGATGCTGTGAAGGGGTTTTTCTTCATCAAGGAAAGGATTCTGCGATCATCCACTTTAGTTGTCTTCCATGGTCTTCCAGGCCTTTCGATGTTGTTGAGCTCACCAGTGCTTTCCTTCTTTTTAAGAATGTACCCAACTGTTGATTTGGCCACACCTAAGGTTTTTGCTATCTCTCTTATAGATTTATGTTGTTTTTTCAGCCTAATGATGGCCTCCTTCACTTGCATTGAGATCTCCTTGGACTTCATATTGGTAGCTCCAGTCAAACTGCTGCCAAATGCCAACTCAATACCTGATATCAACTCCAGACCTTTTATCTGCTTCATTTGTCTTGAAGTAACGAGGGAATGGACCGAACCTGGTCAATTAACTTCTTATCAGTCAATTGTCCAAATACCTTTGAGCTCCTGAAAATGGAAGTACTTTGCTTAAAATGGCTGTAATTCCTAAATGGTAAGTGCCATATTTTTGTGGAACCTCTTAAAATAAAGCTGAAAGTCTACACTTCGATCGCATCTTGATTGTTTCATTTCAAATCCATTGTGGTGGTGTATAAAGGCAAAATCACAAAAACTCTGTCATTGTCCAAATACTTCCGGACCTGACTGTATATAAGTTATGTATAGCATAATACAGTAGGAAATGTGTAAAAATTTGACTATGCAATTCAGTATTCAAGATTGCACAATTTCTAGTTTCTAGGTGCCAATTTAAATTTAACCAAATTTGTGATATTGACCATGTTATCTCCTTTGTACAAATGGTCAGTTTCAGATCTTATATCTCATAAGCATGTGTTGGATTTGATCCAACACGGATCATCAGGTTTTACACAAACTTGTGGAGTCGGTGTCACCTTGAGTGCACGCTGTCATTAAAGCAAAAATGGGACATAACCAATTTACTCAGAAATTCTGAAATTCATGTAAATATTTTTAAGATTTTACTTTTCACTCAGGTTGTTGCTGATAATATCATTTGTAATGAAAACCTTTGTGTTAAATTGAAAAAGATTGCCAAACAGAAGCATTTTCACTAGTGCTCTCAGACTTTTAGACCCCACTGTATATGTGCATGAGTATACAAATACCGGGTTAAGCGTTTGTCGAGTATTACTGAAATCATTATTTGAGTATTTGTTGTGCCTTATATCCGCAGAAGGTCAGTGAGTAAAGCCACATCTGGCAATTTTTTGATTCAAAAAGTAGCCCTGTAATGATATGCAAGTTCGAGGCGCACTGGGATGAAAATATTCTTGGGAATGGACAGGTTTTACTCTCATGCAGACAGGAGCATGTGGCCTGATACAAATCAAGCAGACAGAAGACAGATAATAAATTTCCAGCAACGTGCAGTACAAATGCCCTAAACGTCTTAAACTAGAATGCACACAAATCCTTGGCTTTGCATATTCCATTAAGGCCGTTTTGCACCAGAAGCAACACTGCACGTATGGCACGCCACAACCATTCTGCAACTAATGCATGAATTTAAACATGGCTCTAGTAGCGGTTGACAGAAAATATATATTCCTTAACTCCTATGGATATGCAAATTTTGAAATTAGGCAGAAAACACATTCCTTCTCCTCATCCTTCATATTCTTCAACATTGTGCCGCTGGTTATGGATTTTCATATAGTGTTTAAAAAAAAAAAAATCCCCATGTTTACTTGTTGCTTTTCTAATTGCGTAGCATTTTAAGTGTAACTGAACCTCGGCAGCGTCTCATTCAAGACTGTTATGGAGCATGAGAACGAGGTGTCTTGTCCTCCTCATTTTATGTGTAGGGGTTTTCTGTTATTTTGCTATATAATCTTTTTCATACATAAAATTTTGCATTGCTTTAGAAGGGAAGGAGAATATTATCTGAAAACAGTTGGCATTTTCTCCAAATAACAGCATTATAAATGACAAAAACAATGAGAAGTGCAGAAAATAGATGCGGACCCTAAAGCTGATCTTGATTTGAAATTGAAATTGCTGTAGTCTTTTGTATGCAGAGTCGCACTTAACGCTCAGAGATCAGAGAGAAGTGCTTACAGTTACGTTCATCCTGCAGCGTCAGAGACACACTGAGCTTTTAGGTGTGAGTTTTTTTTTTTTTTTTTTTTTTTT